CCCATCGGCTGTTGCTTTTCTCTCGGCTGCAGCCCCTCGCCCCTGGTCCCCCAGCCAACTCCTCACTGTTCAGGATCCAGCGAAAAGACGCCCTGTGGGGAGGCGTGCCCTCACCAGCTCCCTCCCACACATCCGTCCACAGCCCCCCTCCTCGCTCAGCACCACCTCGGGTCATTGACCCCCGTCCTTGGCAGCCTTACCCACAGAGTATCGGCCTCAGAGTCAGGACTTTGTGTCTGTTACTCGCCGCTGCCTGCTCGGGCCCCAGAGTGCCCGGCACGTCGTACACACTCAGTGAAGCTGCTATGAACGAGGGCCTGCACTGCCATGCACGGCGCAGAATCCGACTCAGACCCAGGAAGGCCCCCAGCACGCCCCCACCGGCCTAAGCTAGAGGCCAGAGGCCAGGGCAGTGAGCAGTAACCTTTGTGTATTCAGCAACCACGGTCAGACTTCTGGGGCAGACCAAACACACCCCTTTCTAGGATTTAAATTCTCTGCGAAGATGAAACCTCTGGGCGAGACATTGTTGTAGGCCTCAAAATGCCCAGATTTCAAACTAGTGCCCTGGAGGTGAAGTAGGGCGGGTGTCCTGGTTGGTAGTGACCAGCGTGCACCTCCAGGGATGGCGGGGCTCCAGAGTCGGCAGGAGAGGGTGTGAGGAAGGGGCTGGTTGGAGGCCGGAGGCGGCTGGAAGTCCTATCCGTCCATCTTTCCTGCAGGAGCTGAAGTGGGAATCAGCACCTCGCGGATCCACGCCCGGGGACCGGTAGGACTTGAGGGGCTGCTCACGACCAAGTGGCTGCTCCGAGGCCAGGACCATGTGGTCTCAGATTTCTCAGAGCACGGAAGTTTGAAATACCTTCACGAGAACCTCCCAGTTCCGCAGAGGACCACCAACTGAAAGAGCCCGGGAGACCTGGAGCGTCCCCAGAGGTCTGCACGGCGAGATGCGTCTTAGGAAGCTCCGGGCAGAGCCAGATCTCGTCTCCCAGTTCCTGGATCGGCCCGCGGCCCGTGCTTCTTGGCTCAATTTGGCAACATTGGGTTTGGCTAACGTGCGAATTGCAGCTCGCCCTTTTTCTTTTTTTAGTAAGAGAATGATCTCTATGGGCAATGACCTCCCTTTGCCAGTCCTGTCCTCTTCAGTGACAGAAACAGAAAGGCGCCCATGAAGACCAGGAGCGGTCACGCTGGGCGTCGGCGGGGCCTGGGGTCAGGCACTGCGACCAAGTCTTCTCACATCCCGTGTCCGCTCACTCGAGTCATCTTCGAAAAGGAAAGGTTTGCATTCAGAGGAGGGCAGCCCTCTTTAGCATTCTCATCAGAAGTAGTCACAGCGCTGGCCTGCATCGTTCCCGCGGGGAGGACGGAGCTCTTGGGTTTATCTGGGGAGTAAATAAATAAGCATCGCAGACGCCGCAGCCTTCCGATCTCAGGCGCCACGCAGTGTGGTGGGGCTGGGACCCGAGCTGCAGGCGGGGGCTGCGAGTCCCAGGAGGTTCCCCACCAAGCGGGAGGGAGATCTACAGCTGTGTCCGAAATTTTTATATGGGTTATTTTGTCGTCTGATCCTTCTCCAAAACAAAAATTAGAATATTATTTTAATACTTTGGATTCTTCTCCACTTTTTGAAAAATAAAGTTCTTATGAAAAGTCTGCACAATTCACTTCTCCCTCACTTGTCCCGTCCCTCTTCCTCCTCCCTCCCGGTGGCCCTCTGAGGGCCCCCACACACACACACACACACACATAC